AGTATCTTTTCAATGTTTAGATACACAAATACAGGCACTTCTCATTTTATTGTACTTTGCATTTCATTGCTTTTCAGATATTGCATTTTTTGCAGAAATTTTGTGGCAAATCTTCATCAAGTAAGCCTATTTGCATCATTTTGCCAACAACATGGGTCCACTGCGTGTCTCAATGTCACACTTGTAATTCTCACAGTACTTCAAACTGTTTGATTATATCTGTTATGGTGATATGTGATCATTGATTTTTAATGTTACTATGGTAATTATTTTGGGATGGCACAAATTGTACCTATATAAAATGAAAAATTGATATTGGATCATCAGGGTGGAAGGGAGGCAGGATAGACTGCAGCTCCAGACAGTGTCATGTGGGGAAGCTTGCACTGTAAATTTTAGTTCCAGATCGACTGCAAGAACAAATACCTAATGTGGATGACCGGTTGATGGGTGCAGCAAACCATCATTGCACTTGTATACCTATGTAACAAACCTGCACATTCTGCACATGTACTCCAGAACTTAAAGTATAAAAAAAAAGAAAAGAAAAAATGCTCAACATAACTAATGATCAGGGAAATGGAAATCAAAACCATAATGCAATACCACCTTACTCCTACAAGCATAGCCATAATCAAAAATCAAAAAACAGTAGATGTTGGCATGGATGCAGTAAACAGGGAACACCTTTACACTGCTGGTGGGAATGTAAACTAGTACATCCACTATGGAAAATAGGGTGAAGATTCCTTAACTAAAGGAACTACCATTTGATCCATCAATCCCACAACTGGGTACCTACCCAGAGGAAAATAAGTCATTATTCAAAAAAGTTACTTGCATACTCATGTTTACAGTGGCACAATTCACAATTGTAAAATCATGGAAAAAATCCAAATGCCCATCAATCAACAAGTTTGGAGTGGATAAAGAAACTGAGGTATACACACATACACACACACACACACGTATGTGTGTATATACACACACACCACACACCAGGCTCACACCTGTAATCCTATCACTTTGGAAGGTCAAGGTAGGCAGATCACTTGAGGCTAGGAGTTCATGACCAGCCTTGCAACATGGCAAAGTATTCCATATATACAATGGAAAACTATTCAGCCATAAAAGAATGAATTAACAGCATTTGCAGTGACCTGGATGACAGTGGAGACTATTATTTATTCTAAGTGAAGTAACTCAGGAATGTAAAACCAGCTATTATATGTTCTCACTGATATGTGGGAGCTAAGCTGTGAGGATGCAAAGGCATAAGAATGATACAATGGACTGTGAGGACTTGTGGAGAAGAGAGGAAGGGAGTGAGGGATAAAAGACTATATATAGGGTGCAGTGTATACTGCTTGGGTGATGCGTGCACCCAAATCTCACAAATCACCACTGAAGAACTTACTCATATAACCAAATACCACCTCTACCCCAATAACTTATGGATGGATGGATGGATAAAAAGAATGATAAAAAATAAGATGAAAAACTTAATTGATAAATGTGTGGGTTGCAACTGCTCCACCGACAGTTCCCACGTCTCTTTCCCTCTCCATGGGCCTCCCTATTTCTTAAGACTCAATAATTTTGAAATTATTCAATTAAAACCTTACACTTGCCTCCAATAGTTCAAGGGAAAGGAAGAGCCAAACGTATCTAACTCTAAATAAAAAGCTAGAAATTATTAAGTTTAGTGAGGAAGGCATATCAAAAGCCAAGACAGGCTGAAGGCTTGACCTCTTTGCCAAACAGTTAGTCAAGCTGTAAATGCAAAGAAAAAGTTGTTGAAAGAAATTAAAACACCTACTTTAGTGAACGAAAGAATAATATGAAAGTGTGCCTGCTTCAGCAGCCCATATCCTAAAATTGGAATGGTACAGAGAAGATTATCACGGTCCTGGGTAGCAATGACATGCAAATTAGTGAAGCATTCCACACTTTTGTAAAATAAAAAAAAAAATAAAAAATAAAGAATAAGAAAGTAAAACAGCCTCATTGTTGATATGGATAGAAGATCAAACCAGCTACAATATTTCCTTAAGCCAAAGCCTAATCCAGAGCAAGGTCCTTACTCTCTTCAATTCTATAAAGGATGAGAGAGGTGAAGAAGCTTCAGAAAAAAGCTAGAAGCTAACAGAGGTTGGTTCATAAGGGTTAAGGAAAGAAGCCATCTGTGCAAAATAAAAGTGCAAAGTGAAGCATGAAGTGCTGACATAGAAGCTGCAGCATGTTATCCAGAAGATCTAGCTAAGGTAAGTGATGAAAGTGTCTGCACTAAACACCTAGTTTAAAAGCTTCAAAGACAGACTCCCTTCTTAGTGGCTAATGTAGCTGGTGACTTTAAGTGGAAGCCAACGCTCAGTTATCATTCTGAAAATTTTAAAGCCATGAGGAATGATGTTCCATCTATTCTGTCTGTGCTCTGTTAACTGAATAACAAAGCCTGGATGACAGCACATCTGTTTATAGCATGGTTTACTGAAAATTTTAAGCTCACCATTGAGATCTCTTTAAAAATATTACGGCACACCAACAATATACCTGGTCTCCCAATAGGTCTTATGGAGAAATCTAAGATTTAAGTGCTGTTTTGATGTCTGTTAGCATAGCAACCATTCTGCAGCTTATGAATTGATGAGTAATTGTGACTTTTAAGTTTTATGGTTCAAGAAATACATTTAATGGCCAGACGGGGTGGCTCACACCTGTAATCCCAGCACTTTGGGAGGCCAAGGCAGGAAAATCACTTGAGATCAGGAGTTCGAGACTAGCCTTGCAACATGGTGAAACCCTATCTCTACTAAAAATACAAGAATTAGTTGGGTGTGGTGGCACATGCCTGTAATTCCAACTACTTGGGAGGCTAAGGCATGAGAATTGCCTGAACCTGTGAAGCAGAGATTGCAGTGAGCCAAGATCATGCCACTGCACTCCAACCTGGGCAACAGAGCAACCCTGTCTCAAAACAAAACAAAACAAAACAAAAATAAAAAAGACAAGACAAGACATGTAGTAAGGCTACAGTTGCAATAGATAGTGATTTTTCTGATGGATCTGGGCAACGTAAATTGAAAGCCTTCTGCAAAGGATTCACCATTCTATATGCCAGTAAGAATACTTGTGATTCATGGAAGGGGGTAAAAACATTAACATTAAAAGGAATTTAGAAAAAACTGATTCCAACTCTCATGGATGACTTTCAGGGGTTTAAGACTTCAGTACAGAAAGTAACTCCAGATGTGGTAGAAATAGCAAGACAGCTAGAATTAAATGTGGATCTTAAAGATGTGATTGAATCTCTGCAATCTCATGATAAAACTTGAATGGATGAGGAGTTGCTTCTTATGGATGAGCAAAGAAAGTTGTTTCTTGAAATGGAAATTAGTCATGAAGATGTTGTAAATATTGTTGAAATGACCACCAAGAATTTAGACTACTACATACATTTAGTTGATAAAGCAGTGGCAGGATTTAAGAGGATTGACTCCAATTCTGAAAGAAGTTCTACTGTGGGCAAATGCTATCAAACAATATCTCATGCTCAGAGAAATCTTCCACTAACTTAATTAGTAAACAGCCATCTCAATCGAGGCAAGACCCACCACAAGCCAAAAGATTATAACTTGTTGAGGGCTCTGATGTTACTTAGCATTTTTTTTTAGCAATAAAGTATTTTTAAATTAATGTATGTTCATTGTTGTTTTAGACATAGTTCTATTGCACATTTAATAAACTATAGTATAGGGCAAACATAACTTATATGCATTGGAAAACCAAAAAATTTGTGTTGCTTGCTTTATTTGCTTTACTGTGGTGGTCTGGACTGAACGAGCAATGTCTCCAAGATATGCCTCACTTGTTATTTTTTTCCCATTTATTTATTTTATTGCATTTTAGGTTTTGGGGTTCATGTGAAGAACATGCAAGATTCTTGCATAGGTACACACGTGGCAGTGTGATTTGCTGCCTTCTTCCCCATCACCTACATCTGGCATCTCTCCCCCTGCTCTCTCTCCCCTACTCCCCCACCCCTCACCATCCCTCCCCTATTTCCCCCCAACTTACCCCAGTGTGCAGTGCTCCCCTCCCTGTGTCCATGTGTTCTCATTGTTCAATACCCGCCTATAAGTGAGAACATGCGGTGTTTGATCTTCTGCTCTTGTGTCAGTTTGCTGAGAATGATGGTTTCCAGGTTCATCCATGTCCCTACAAAGGACACAAACTCATCCTTTTTTATGGCTGCATAATATTCCATGGTGTATATGTACCACATTTTCCCTATCCAGTCTATCGTTGATGGGCATTTGGGGTGGTTCCAGGTCTTTGCTATTGTAAACAGTGTTGCAATGAGCATTCGTGTGCACGTGTCCTGATAGTAGAACGATTTGTAATCCTTTGGATATATACCCAGGAATGGGATTGCTGGGTCAAATGGAATTTCTATTTCTAAGTCCTTGAGGGATCGCCACACTGTCTTCCACAATGGTTGAACTAATTTACACTCCCACCAACAGTGCAAAAGTGTTCCTGTTTCTCCACATCCTCTCCAGCATCTGCTGTCTCCAGATTTTTTAATGATCGCCATTCTAACTGGCGTGAGATGGTATTTCAATATAGTTTTGATTTGCATTTCTCTGATGACCAGTGATGATGAGCATTTTTTCATATGTTTGTTGGCCTCATGTATGTCGTCTTTTGTAAAGTGTCTGTTCATATCCTTTGTCCACTTTTGAATGGGCTTGTTAGTTTTTTTCTTGTAAATCTGTTTTAGTTCTTTGTAAATTCTAGATATCAGCCCTTTATCAGATGGGTAAACTGCAAAAATTTTTTTCCCATTCTGTTGGTTGCCGATTCGCTCTAATGACTGTTTCTTTTGCTGTGCAGAAGCTGTGGAGTTTGATTAGGTCCCATTCGACTATTTTGGCTTTTGTTGTCAATGCTTTTGGTGTTTTGGTCATGAAGTCCTTGCCTACCCCTATGTCCTGAATGGTTTTGCCTAGATTTTCTTCTAGGGTTTTTATGGTATTAGGTCTTATGTTTAAGTCTTTAATCCATCTGGAGTGTTGGGAAAGCTGGCTAGCCATGTGCAGAAAGCAGAAACTGCCTCACTTGTTACTGTGTTACAATTGCCGACAGCATTCAGTACAGTAACATGTTATACAGGCCTGTAGCCTAGGAGCAACAGGCGATACCATATAGCTTTGGCATGTAGTGTACTATACCACGTAGGTTGTGTAAGTATAGTGTATGATGTTTGCACAATGATGAAATTGTCTAATGACACATTTCTCAGAGAAAGTTCCTATTGTTAAGTCACCGTGGCTGTACTCCAAAGTGTGTAATTACTTAAAAATAATATTAGGACCCATACATCTAGACATATTTCAAGCCTATATATATTCTTTTTAATACATTTAAGATCAAAGAGTATTGATCTTTTGGGGGATGATTTTATTGTTTGGAAAGAGCCAGAAGCTAATATAGTGGATAAACAAATTGATTAAAACAATATTTTCTTTAAAAATAAAATAAGAGATGTGACTCAAATAATCAAACCAGTTTACCTGGATCACTATTTGAGTTGGCAATCTCAAAATACTCTAGACAATGGAAGGAGTACTCAAGACAGCCTCCCAAAAAGATCACTTTAAAAACTAACATTCATTTGGGGCTCAGTTAATTTTCAAAATCACAATAAATTTTAATTGCTCTTCTATACATGAAAGCCAATAACATTATTTCTTCATGCCGACTTACCAAGTCAATATTCTATGAACTTAAAACAAGCATTTTAAAGCTTACACATTTGGCTTGGATCCCAAGAAAATCAAGTGCCTGAAAGCCATGTAGACCTTAGGATGATTCCAACCTTAACCACTTTGTATTGTATGAAGTTAAGAACCTTCAGTTCTTTCTTTTTCTCTTGTAAAAAAAAATAAAAAGTTCTTATTCCAAAATAATACTCAAAACATCACTTGTAGAATGAAAAGAAATAAAGTGTGTATAGCAACAAGTATCATGACTAGCTCAGAAAACTTATAAGGCATTAATGCAAACCAAGTGGAGGTTTATTTGCATTATTACTTTCGGTCCTTAAAACAAGCCATGAGGTAGGTAGCAGTATTGTTTTTATCTTGCAGATAAGTCAGCTGAAGCTTAAGGAGGTTAAGAAAGACAAAGGTTTGTTCACTTCTCCTTTTCCAAAATTGGTGTAACGTTCATAAGATTTTAATAACATTAGTAGTACTATAAGAATACCCTAGGAGTACATCTATGATTTTCTTCAACAAAAACTAAAGAAAGTTGTTAATGAGTTTGATGGAAATCCAATCCACAAAATGTCTACCTTGTTTTGATTTAGGTCAGTGTACCTTTTATGTTTATAATGTTTATTACATTGGTTTTTCAATTTATACCTTTCACTTACCTTGGTAGGTTACTTTGGGTATTGTACTTACCTCTCTATTTTTGCAAATTTGAAAATTACTCAAGGCATCTTATGGAAGGGAAACAATTGAAAAACTCACCAAAATAGGTGTGATAGTCAGTGTTTGGTCAATCCTGGAAAAGATTCAGATGTCAAGAAAAACACAACATGAAAAAAGAATTAAATGATTGAAAATTCTTTGTGTAAGGAAAGAAACAAAAGATTTGTTTAGATTCAATTCTTATTTTTAATTTTAAAAGGAATGTTCTTTCTCTGCCTATTGTTCATACCAGTAGGTGTGATATGAAGTGAGAACAGATTTTCTAATTTTTAGCTTCTCAGAATAATGTTCCAATGTTTATGCCTAAAGGTACCTTTGAAATGGCCTGGTCCAAATAGCTCATTTTACAAATGAAGGCACTGGGTCTCAGAAAATTGAAGTGTTATTCCCCAAACCACCCAATCAGCAAGTGATAGAACAGAGATAAAGCTGGGGCTCTGACAACTCACCCCCTCGTCTGCTTTGCTACATTATGCAATTTTCCCTGCAACTGCTCTCAATACAACTGAAACCTACAAGTCTCAGGCTTGAGGCAAGGTTATAATTGGCCACACAACAGAAGAAAAAGTGTAATGAGCAATGTCAAACCTCTGAAATAACAAATAAGGCTATTCTTCATCTTACGCAGAAAAAAAAAGAGAAAAATTTGGGCTAAGGACTTCTAAATACCATGAGAACCATCTCTTGACTCTGGTAAACACACATAAGATATTCAAAGCTTGAAAGTTACACAAAACTCAAGACTTGGTATTTCAGAATTTCCCTGGAAATGAAAGAATTCCAGATCGCGGCCCTGAAAAAGAGTGAGATAACTCAGAAAAAAGGTTAACTTTCTGCTATCTCAAGTGTCCAAATGAAATCAATGCTTTATTTCACCCTTTCAGTCTGTGACTCTTTGAGAAAAGGGACCATAGGCTTTCTTATTTTCTAGCACTCAAAGCCTAAAATCATCTTTTCTTTCCACAGTATCTAATAATTAATTATGGAGTAAAGAAATGTTCAATCAGTTACCTCTGACAGACAGACAGACTGTGATGAAGTTGTCCCAATAAATGGTAATATCACAACAGCTTATCAGGAGGCTGCTTTATACTTTCAACCATCATGTCATTTGTCCTTTTGGCCTTTTCCACAGAAAAATGGCTATGGGTATAACTCATCACTGGGCTGCTTCCAGGCTGTTCTCATTTTGCTGCCAATCAATTGGTCTCTGTGAGGAGACAAAGAAATTCTATGTGGTAGCCAACTTTATCAGTCTGTAATTATTCTTTTTCAAGAATAACTGAAAAACAATATTATTTCTACAGGCCTGGCTGGGCGTGGTGGCACCCGCCTGTAGTCCCAGCTATTCGGGAGGCTGAGGCAGAAGAATCGCTTGAACCTGGGAGGTGGAGGTTGCAGTGAGCCGAGAATGAATGAATGAATGAATGAATAAATAAATAAATAAATAAAGCCTCATCCTCAGAGTTAGGTTTCAGAAGAACCCCAAGTCTACATTTTAATAAAATTCTCACATTCTTTCTTTAATGTACTTCTTTTCTGAAATTCTCACATTCTTTCCTTAATGTATTTGAAATATATAATTCAATACACATATGTTTAAGGAGGTATTATTTAATAAAGTACTCCCTTTCTCTTTGCCATTTGGTAGCATCAGATATTCCTTTCTAATTTAAAACTCTCTTCCTTGACAACAATACAATCAAAGCTTAAGAACTCACTGCAATCCGTTTGGTTTTAGAAAATAAAATGCACAAGTTAAAGTTTAATTATACTTAACAAGAATTGTATTAATGTTATTCTAAAAATGGTTGTCAAAGACAATGACCTCAAAATTCAGGATATGACAAATGAAACCTGACAAACAACTGCAGAGGGAGAAACCCTGGGATTATGTGGTCACAAAATCAAAGTGAGAGTGTATATCAAAGCAATGAAGCAGCCATTGACATTTTTATCAACCTGTATATTGCTGAAATGATATAATTTCCTTTGACTATTGAGTTCCTCTGGCCAAACTTGTATCACATGTGAATACTGTGGGGAGTATTATTAAAAGGGTGTTTTAAAAAATGTTATCTGTTGAGATGGAAAGAAATACACTCCCATCAGAAGTAATCATTATCTGAGATTGTTGCTGATACTGTCCTGATATTGCTGACACTGCTCACAGCTTCTGATTTTGTCCTGAAAACTGCTCTTTACAGTTTTCTTAAGCATTTAAGATAATTTAGAGAACTTTTATAACTCTAGACTATAATGAAATTTGCCATAACTAATAGCTTGTATTTTGTGAATATAAAATATCATCTTGAGGGAAAATACTAACAGGTGAAATAATACATTAGAGATTTGAATTATTCAGAGAAAGAAAGACATAGGAATTAATTTAAAGCTTTGCTGTTATTAAGCAGTATTTATAGCATACACAAACATTCCATGAAAAATAGGGCAGTGTGGTTGACATCAATCCTAAGCAAAATTCTACAGTAGATGTTCTGAACAATTTTTTAATCATTCTATAGGCAAACGTACTCGGTAGGAGGCAGCAGGGAACTCACAGACATGACTGGCATCTTCTTTGTTTTTGTTGCTAAGATTACAAAAGTTGTAATAAGAGAATGAAAATTTTAGCATATCTTGGTTTCAACTTGAAAACATTTATCACTCATTCATCTGAACGTGACAGGGGATTGTGGCTGGTAATAGCAGAATAAGGTGGATTCATAACTGATTGTATAATGAAAATTTTTAAATGTTGACTAATTAGTCAATCTCACTTTGGAAGAAAGTCTTTAGAAATGGTCTGCTAGGGTCTGGCTTTGGCTGCTTCCAGAATGACATAATTATCAAACTGGAAAATCACAGAAAAGTCAATTCAACTTGAGGCAGAATTTCTAAATGATTTGATGTGTCTGAATAGGGCAACACTTGTAAGTGTAAGGTTGAGGTGGTCAAGCAAAGATCAAACTCAAAATGATGATGAGATGATGGCACTGAAGGTATATGAGGTTATATACCTTTGGAAGCGGTAGAGAATAGGAGATGTTGATTGAATAAATGTCTGGGGCTCACAATCCACTCTGTTTGTATTTTGTTCCATTAGATTTTTTTTACCCCTAGGCTAAAATGTCCAGGGGAAAAAAAGGGAAAAAAGAGAAAAGTAGTGGATCAGGTGATAATCTAAGTTCCTTCCAGATTTAGGATTCTACATCATTGTAACTGAGATTTGTTTGAAATGTGTTAAAGATATCTGCAAAAGATATCTCCTCTTAAGAGAGTTTCATGAAATCACATTCCTCAGTTTGTGTGTGTCTGTGCACTCAACTCACAAATACACACACACATGCATTTTAAGAATCCTCATCACTCAGTGCTAGACTAGTGATTTTGTTTGCTGAATTGTCTCATATATCCAACACTCATGATTCTGATCCTCCTGCTATTTTAAAAAATAAATTTTCTCTTATAGTTCAAAGATTTAAATTCACTTTACATACAATTAAACTAAATATACCAAATGCCCAATTATCCTTTCACAGCAGTTGAGGGCTTCACAGTTATAATCATCAGTTTAGTTCCAGGTCTCCAGGAGGGACGTAGGTGAGCCCAAAGCTCAGAATGATTTTTTTTGATCAAGTGTGTGGGTATGTATTTCTGCCTTTCAAAACTAAATACCATATTTAATTATATATTAGATGATATTAGTCCATTTTCTATCATTTATCATAGAGTGTCTGAAACTGGGTAATTTACTTTAAAAGGAATTTATTTTTTACAGTTATGGAGGCTGAGAAGTGTAAGGTTGAGGGGCCACATCTGATGAGCGCCTTCTGGCTGGTGGGAACTCTACAGAGTCCCGAGATAGTACAGGGCATCATGTGACAAGGGGGCTGAGTGTGTTACATGCCTGCTGGTTTTTCTTCCTCTTCTTATAAAGCCACCAGCTCCACTCTCATGATAACCCATTGATCCATTACTTTATGAATGGATTAATTCATTCGTGACTGGCAGAACCTTTATGATTCAATCTCCTTTTAAAGGCCCCACTTTTTTTTGCCACATACAATCATATTTAATCATCACAATATGTTAACATGCCTATACCAGTATTTTAAATATTGTAGGTACCTAAAAACTTTTAGTTGAATCTAAAGTGTATATGTATACACACACACACACATACATACATACATATATATATATACACATATATGTAATTTATTTTACAGCTTCTGGGATACATGTGCTGAATGTGCAGGTTTATTTATACCTATACATGTGCCATGGTGGTTTGCTGCACCTGTCAACCCATCATCTAGATTTTAAGCCCCACATGCATTAGGTATTTGTCCTAATGCTCTCCCTTCCCTTGCCCTTCACCACACTCCACCGACAGGCCCGAGTGTGTGTTGCTCGCCTCCCTGTGTCCATGTGTTCTCATTGCTCAACTCCCACTTACCACTGAGAGCATGCGGTGTTTGGTTTTCTGTTCCTGTGTTGATTTGCTAAGGATTATGGTTTCCAGCTTCATCCATGTCCCTGCAAAGGAGATGAACTCATTTTTTATGGCTGTATAGCATTCCATGGTGTGTATGTAAAGGCCCACTTTTTAATACTGCCACATTGGGAATTAAGTTTCCAACATATGAAATTTGGGGGACATATTAAAACCAGAATATATATTGTGTCTATCATTCAGTAACAAATCAATCATTATAGAGTAAGATCATTAAAAGTGGAACCAAAAAAGTGAAGAGTATCTAAATGCAGTACCTAAATGCACATTCTTTCAACAAATACTTTTTGAGCACCTTCACGTGTCAGACATTGTTCTAGGCACACGGGTTGTAACAGCAAACCATGACCTTAGAGACATTATATTCCAGTGGAGAAATTTAGACAATATACAAACAAATACATATCAGGTGGTGGTAACTGCTATTAAACAGGTAAAGCAGGATTAGGGTACAAAGTAAGGGGGCTACTATTTTGTACAAATGTGGGAAAATATAAGTTGTCTGTTCAAGAGCAAAGACTGCCTCTAACAAGATTCTTGCATAGCAAAAAAATAAGTGGCCCATTTTCATAATGCTTATTGTTTCTAAGGTTTTGTGCAGAGCAATTTCACCTGCCTGCTTTAGCTCCTCTCTTCCCTTGCTATGTACCTTTTACTTTGTGGTTTGTCTGGTTTCCTTTTGACTTCCCCAAGGTGTTAAGAGTTCTTCAAGATTGTGGTACAAGCAACTTTTCCTCCCATTGACTGATTTTCTGCTGAAAATAAAGAGCTCTAAAACAGTTTCACTTCTATTCTCCTGACCCCACAAACATGTTTTTTCTTCAAAATTTTTTTCAGTTTATATACATTTTTTCCATTTAAGAACATTTACTCCCATAGTTTTATTTTTTATAAACACATTAACTGTGTCATTGGCATGAGACCTCATTTGTCTTTTCTTTGTCTGCATAATAATGTGGTAGTGAACAGATAAAGATTGCATCGGTTCCCTCAATAAAGGGCTAGAAGTCACATTTTGGGTCGTTTTATGTGTGTCAACTAAATCATTTTTAAGAAATAAATCTAAGAAATGCTCTATTTGCCATGGACAAAAAAAATCATTTTGATTTTTCAGTTAATTTCTTCAAACTAAAATATTACATTGTACTGATTAAAAAATTATACAAAGAAAAAATGATGATGTCTTTGGGAAATAATTGTATGAGGATAGAAACATACTGTACAAACAATAGCATTGCTTAAACTATAAAATAGATTCTTGGCAAGATTTGTTTAGATGTAGGATAGACACCAATGTTCACGTAAAACTTTTCTAATTTTTTAATCAATGAGCCTAATAATCTGTGTGTGTGTATGAGTGTGTGTGTGTGTCCTTCTCTCTTTCTCATTAAATGCTTTTGATTATGGTGTCTCTATCCTGCAAACATAAGTTATTTTTATTTTTAAGCACCTAGAAAAGATACAGGGACAAATAAAGGAATGGGAGCCTTTTCCTGTCAGTTATAGGGGCTTTGATACTATTTCATAGCATGATCTAGGAATGTTTTACACAGAGTAGAGTTAAAAGATATTCATTTTGTTACGATTTTTAAGAGTCTGATACAATGTTTTGTTGTTAGCTTATTATTGTTACCTAAACATTTCACAAGTTCAGATTCATTGTTCTGTATCGCCACAAAAGTTTTTGCAAAGTTAACATACCAAATTATATCTATTATAGCTATTACAAAGTATACTTATGTTCTGATTTACAGTGTTGACTATGCATTCTCAAATAGCCCTGTAGTAGCTCTAGTCTTGAACAAGTAGACTTTGATTTTTATTACAACTGAATTTGGGTGTAGGAAGCAGGCTGGTATACAAAAACAATAATTAGGTTAAAAGTCACTTGAGAAGGCAATATATCGAAATGAAAAGAGCTCTGAAAAATAAATAAAAATAAGGCCTTCAGGTTAGGCCTGGCAATGTCATTAAGGTAGCTCAGTGTCATTTCAGGCAACTCACTTAAAGCCTCTGGATCACAGGCCCTTATGGGTGTCTATCCAGAATGACATCTACAAATGCCTCAGAGACCAACAAATGTGGCAGTGGCCAGGGTCAGACAAAAGTAGTGTGGACTTTGGTGAACTGAAGACTACACATCCTTCCCAAAAGCATTAAATTCAAAATGTTGAAACACAGTGATAACTGTAGTATCCCTTTTAGCTTTAACATTCTGTGCTTTTGTGTTTTCAAATAAAATGAATGTATACTTATTAGATAGCTGCAATGTAAAACCGTTTCATGACTTCAGAAGAATAACATAAACATATGAGCTATGTCTGCCTTTGAAGCATACAGTCTAGCTAAAGAAATAAAACTAGGCAACAAGATAAAGAGGCCAGCTCTTCAAGCGACACATGGAATGCACACTAATTATTTACGAAAAATGGATTTGTCCCTCTAAGAAATAGTGGGCTGTGTCAGCAAGTGCTATAGTCATTTTCAGAATGGCAATAGCCTCTAACATGAGGGACTGAGGAAAGGCTTCACTGAAATGGTAGAGCTTAAGCCCACAATTCAAGTGTAGAGTCTAGATTAGAATAGCATGGGGTTACAAACAGAACGTTTAACTTTTAGGAGACCTTTTATAAGCACTATTAAGAAGTCTGGCTTTAGTTTGTTTCTTAGTTTTTGTTAATGGAGAATGCTTATTGAGGAAAAGCAAAATTTTAGTAAAAAATAGTCTAGTCTTTAGAATATTTCTGGTACATTTTGACATCAGTCTGGCTGAGATACATACATTTCAATGTTGGCATTGGAAGCTTTTCCACAGATTTACTTAGTGAATAAATACTTTCATTTGATCGTAACAGAATACATTTATCATCACAGTATTTGCATTTTTATTCCACTAAGCATCTGTTTTCTCTACACTGACATCTCTAATTATAATCTTTTTTCAGTAAAACATCTTTTTTTACTGTAAACATCTTTCAGTAAAACATCTTTCACCAATGTTTTCAAGTGCTAGGAATGTAGAATGATGAAGCAAAATGGAACCTAATAATAACTAATAGTGGAATTATGATTTTAAATTTATAACGCTTTGACATGCATGTTAAGCATTTACTCCTTTAAAAAATCCATAGTATAGGCTTTATTCTTTTACAATAAATAAAATGATTAAAAAGAGAAGCTATTTCCCTGTCCATTGAGTATGATTAATACAATCATAGCACACAGTAGAACTGCTAAAGAAACCATTACAATTAGACCTGGAAGATGCATGGTCCATACCTTTTGTGTCATTCGTTCATATGCCTACAATGTGCCAGGCACAGTTCTAAGTTACAAGCACACAGCAGTAAACAAGAAAAAGTGATTGCCTACTAGATTTTACAGAGATTTTCCCACAGTTTATAGATGTAGGATCCATATCTTTTTTAAATTTGAACTTTTAATTTTGCTTTGAAACATATTAATTGTACATTTTTATGGATTACAATGTGATGTTCTGATATATGTACACATCATGTAATCAAGGTAATTAGCTTAAACATTTATCATTTCTTTGTGGTGTAGTATCATTTCTGCAGTGCAGTACAGTGTAGTGTCGTGCAACATAGTATCATTTCTTTGTAGTGGGAACATACAAAATCCTGTCTCCTAGCTATTTCAAGCTATATAACACCTTATTGTTGCCTATAGTCACTCTACTGTGCAATAGAACACCAGAACTTATCTTTCCTCTCTATTTTGTAACATTATACCTGTTGAACATTCTCTCTCCTTCTTCCCCCTACCAACCCGTCTCTGGTAACTACTGTTCTATTTACTATGTCTATGAGATCAACTTTTTTAGATTCTACACATTAATGAGGATGTGATATTTTTATTTTAGTGTCTGGCTTATTCCACTTAACATAATGTCCTCCAGGCTCATCCATGTTGCTCTGAATGATGGAATTTCATTCTTTATGTCTGAGTGGTATTCCATTGTGGGTATATTATATACCCCATTTTCTTTATCCATTCATCAGTTGATGGACATTTAGGATGATTCCATGTCTTGGCTATTGTGAATAGTGCTGCCATAAATATGGGAGTACAGAAATCTCTTTGACATACTGATTTCATTTACTTTGGATATATATCCAGTAGTGGGATTGCTGGATCATGTGGTAATTTTTTCTTTTTTTGAGGAACCTCCATGCTGTTTTTCATAGTGGCTGTACTAATTTACATTTCCACAGTGTACAAGCATTCTCTTTATTCCGCATCCTAACCAACACTTATCTTTTGCCTTTTTGATAATAGCCATTCTAACTGGAGTGAGATGGTATCTCAATATAGTTTTGATTTGCATTTCCCCAGTTATTAGTGATGTTGCACATTTTTTTCATATAGCTATTCATCATTTGGGTGTCTTCTTTTGAGAAATGTCTATTAAGGTATTTTGCCCATTTTCAGTTAGATTACTTGTTTTATGCTTTGGGGTTATTTTTTTAGTTTGACTTGTTCAAGTTCCTTATAAATTTTAAGTATTAACCTCTTGTCATATGTTTAGTTTGCAAATGTTTTCTCCCACTCTGTAGAGGTTCTCTTCACTCTGTTGACGATTTCATTTGTTGTGCAGCAACACCACAGTTTGATGTAATTCATTTTTTTTATTTTTGTTTTTCTTGCCTGTACTATTGAGTTCTTATAAAAAATATTTTGCCTAGTTCAAAGTCATGAAGAATTTTTTTATGTTTTCTTCTAGTATTTTCATAGTTTTGAGTCTTACATTTAAATCTTTAATTCATTTTGAGTTAATGAAAGATTGGATGTCCAATTTTATTCTTCTGTTTGTGGATATTCAATTTTCTTAGCACCATTTATTGAAGAGATTGTCCTTTCCCCAGTTGTGTTCTTGGCACTTTTGTCAAAAATCAATTGGCTATGCATAGGTGGGTTTATTTCTGGGTTCTCTAGTGTCCTCCGTTGGTCTATGTGTGTTTTTATGCCAATACTATGCTGTTT